GCAATAGGGATATGAGTTTGGAGAGAAAACAGAGAGCCAAACAAACAAGAACACAACAGAAGTGACAGGACTGGAGGGTGTGAATCTGTTGGTTGTTCTTTTTTTCTCTCTTTTTTTTAAACATTAAAATTTACATTTATTTATTTTATTTTTGGTTGTGCTGGGTCTGTGTTGCTGTGGGCTTTATCTAGATGCAGTGAGCACGAGCTATTCCTTGCTGCAGGGTGTGGGCTTCTCATAGCAAGTGGCTTCTCCAGTGGAGCACCAGCTCTAGAGGATATTTCTACGCTGACCCAGAGCCTTTGAATAGTAACAGTTCTAGTCTGCGTTCACTATCTGTGGTCCCATCTGCAATTCGTAGTTTTTGATGAGGGTTCCAAATTGAATCTTGGTGGTGAGGGTTTTTTGTATTATGTGTCTGATCTAAATTCAACCTCAAGAGGAATGGTGGCATGTTTCAGTTCAGTTCACTCACTCAGCCATGTTCAAGTGTTTGCTACTCCATGGACTGCAGCACGCCAGGCTTCCCTGTCCATCATCAACTCCCAGAGCTTGCTCAAGCTGGCATGATTGAGCCTGGATTTGGATGAAATGCCCTGAAGCATTGGTTCTCAATATGCTGGTTGCATATTCCAGTCACCTGGAAAAATTTAAAATACCAATCTCCATCCTACCAGAGAAGACAATGGCACCCCACTCCAGTACTCTCACCTGGAAAATCCCATGGACGGAGGAGCCTGGTGGGCTGCAGTCCATGGGGTCGCTAAGAGTCGGACACGACCGAGTGACTTCACTTTCACTTTTCACTTTCATGCATTGGAGAAGGAAATGGCAACCCACTCCAGTGTTCTTGCCTGGAGAATCCCAGGGACGGGGGAGCCTGGTGGGATGCCGTCCACGGGGTCGCCCAGAGTCGGACACGACTGCAGTGACTTAGCAACAGCAGCAGCTCCACCCTACCTCAATAAAATCAGAATTTATGGAGGTGGGGCTCAGATATCAGTAGATTTTTAAGCTTCTTAGGTGACACAAAAGTGCAAGCCAAGGTAGACAATCACTGTCTTTGAATAATTTAAAATTTATAAAACATAAAACAGAGTAAGACATAGGCATAAAAGGACAAAGTACTTGTAAATACACAGAAGACAGAGATTAGATCTATCGGACAGACTTGGAAAGATCTTATGAAAGTCATGTCGTTTGAGATTTAGGAAGATCAAGATTAGGATAATGGAAGAACAATTTCATAAAACTATCAGGTTGAGTGAAAGTATGGAATTGAGAAAATACTGGATCTGATGTTCCCACTGGTTCCACTCCTATACAAGGTAATTGTGTGAGCAAAGTGGAAGGAAACTGAGAACAGACCGAGTTCTAGACCACGAGGGAGTTATAGACAACTGACAGAGTTCTAGACATTGAAAGTTTTGATACACTGAGTGGCCCATTTAGAGTTTTGGATAGAAAGAACAAATCTAGAGCAAGGTGCAAAATGAAATGGAGGAGAGAACATTAGAGTTATTCGGTTATTCAGTTTTGCAATTATAAGGTATTTGCAATACTCAAGGTGGAGTGGGAATAGAAAGCAGAGGAGGAAAAGGAGAAACATGACAGATCTAGAATCTAAAGGACTAGGCAACTTGAATGTGGAGAATAACAGAGGGAAGTCAAAAAGTTAATCAGAAAATTTTAACTACAGGAGTGGTGTCATTAACAAAAATAAGAGTTGTTACCAACTTCAAGCTCATACTGGTCACCACACAATAGGCTAATAAATCAGAGAGGGGTTGTTGGGCCAAAGAATAGTGATTTTATTTGGAAAGCTGGCAGACTGGGAAGATGGTGGACTTGTGCCCCACAGAATCATCTTGACTGGCAGGCAGATTCTTTACCACTAAGCCACCTAGTGCCCATTAAATGCAACCATGCATCAATTACTCTTAGTCTCATAAATATGCACACATCACGATCCAGAACAAGTATAAATAAGTTTATGTACCTGATATTTCCATATCCCTTAATATAAAACCTACATTGGATGTATGGCTATTCTTACTAACGATGTATGTCCAGATCATATCCAGAGTCATATATCTCTGTCATTCAGTTCAGTTCAGTCACTCAGTCATGTCCAACTCTTTGCAACCCCATGGCCTGCAGCATGCCAGGCCTCCCTGTCCATCACCAGCTCCCAGAGTTTACTCAAACTCATGTCCATTGAGTCGGTGATGCCATCCAACCATCTCATCCTCTGTCATCCCCTTCTTCTCCCACCTTCAATCTTTCCCAGCATCAGGGTCTTTTCAAATGAGTCAGCTCTTCGCATCAGGTGGCCAAAGTATTGGAGTTTCAGCTTCAACATCAGTCCTTCCAATGAACACCCAGGACTTATCTCCTTTAGGATGGACTGGTTGGATCTCCTTGCAGTCCAAGGGACTCTCAAGAGTCTTCTCCAACACCACAGTTCAAAAACATCAATTCTTCAGCGCTCAGCTTTCTTTATAGTCCAACTCTTACATCCATACATGACTACTGGAAAAACCATAGCTTTGACTAGATGGACCTTTGTTGGCAAAGTAATGTCTCTGCTCTTTAATATGCTGTCTAGGTTGGTCATAACTTTCCTTCCAAGGAGTAAGCGTCTTTTAATTTCATGGCTGCAGTCACCATCTGCAGTGATTTTGGAGCCCCCCAAAATAA